TCTCTAGCGGACACAATCCAGCTGGCAGAGAACTTCATGTCTGATGAACTCCGTCATCCCCACTTCCAGTGATGGTGCCTGCCATTCTGGAAGGGGATTGCCCAGCAGGTGCCAACAGGCAGACCTGCTGAGGGGACAAGGATTATTGTCAGCATGTGGCCGGTGTGTCACCCGACCAAAATTCTCCCACACTCCCACCTACCAGTCTGTTCCCCTTCTCATTCTCAGGGTGTCAGAGTTGATACCCAGAGAACTGGAACTGGGAATGGGCAGGTTTGTTAGGACTGCAGAGAGCTGGGGCACTTCTGGGCAAACTGTCCCCAAATGGAGATGGGTCAGGTGCTCAGGGTCTCTGCAGTCCCCTGGCTCTCCCATACTGCAGAAAGGACATACATAGTGCCTGTCAGTACTAAAAAGGTGGATTGGTGAGGTGTGAGTGGCCTTGGCAGTTGAAGCACTTTCTGGTATGTTCAGTTCAGTTTATTTGTATAGCGCTTTTTACAATGTCATTGTCTCAAAGCAGCTTTACACAAACAAAAAAGTAAGATGAAGTATGTCATGTGACTGTGACTTGGTGAGAGTGAGCAGTTGCACAATGATACTTTGAAGCATGCCTCTGACCAAGTGAGTGATGGTTAATCACTCTGTAAAGCACTGGGACACCAAGTGATGGTCCCAAAAAGCCACAGGGAAATGCTTTGCCACTTGTCTTATTTTAATCCCACCTGACACCTTGGCAGAAATTTGTGGTGATATACCATGCTGACATGCATCATGCCAAGATTGTCAGCTGGTGAATCCCCCTGGCCACGCTAAATGTACTGTTGTACATTCTTCCTCTTCTCAAGATCCCTTTAGAAAGAATTGCTATGGATTTCAGCATAGGTGCATCGTTTCGTATCAATCCTCACTGAACTATGTGGTAACTATTTGGCATCCCAAAGCAGTGCCTCTGCTGACAATCCATGTGAAGAGCATGGCCAAGACACTGTTTTGCATAATCACCTGAGTTGGAATCTCAAAAGAGATTCTAGCATATCAAGGCACATCATTTATATTATGTACACTATATGCCCTTCATAAACTGCACAGAATTAAAGCGATCTGAGCCATTTTCTTGGGTTAGTGGAGCACTTTAATAAGACACTTAAAAATAGGGATAAATTTATGAATTTATATATTGTTTTTATATATATTTATATATTTATTATACGGCCATTGTTAAAAGCACTATACAAATTAAATTTAATTGAATTGAAAAATATGATTTGAAAGTTCATATACAACTAGAAGGCTAAAGTTCATGAACCTTTATGTTGGCTTGACAGAGCCTGCTAAACACACTAAGAGTTAAACAATATTACAATGTTTTGTTGTCATTGATTTTAAAATGTTAAAACATTTTGTAGTAAATGTGCAATGGTTAAAAGGATAAAAGTTTATAATATGTGTTAAAATGCTAAAACACTGCTATCCAGTTGTTTGCTAGGGTGTTGCTACTTGGCTGCTAAGAAGAGTTAAGCAAAGCTTAACATGTTAAAGCTAGGTAAAAAAAAAAGGTGCTTAAAAGGTGCTATGCTAACCCCGCTGGTTGCTACGTGGCAATTATGGTGTCCCAGGTGGTTGTTATGGTGTTTCTAGGAGGTTTCAATATAATCCCAGTTGGTTGCTAGGTTGTAGCTATTCAGTTGCTAAGGATACTCAGCTGGTTGCTAGAGTGTTAACTGGTTGCTATCATAGTCCAGCTGGTTGCTAGGGTTTTAGTAGGTGGAGCAATGCAGTTTTAATTGTCTTAAGTATAGCTGATTAAGTTTCATGTCTTTGAATGCGGTTTGGTCTGTACAACCTGACTGAAAATAAAAGCACCCCAACCTCTTCCCTATGCTTCTCTTTGCTATGCGGCAACCATAATTCTGGTTTGTCTAAAAAGCACAAGCACCCTATTCCCAGATTCCACAGATTTGGGAATCATGCAAACAATATATAAACTAGTATGAGATCAGGATATTTTGCACACACTCAGTAGAGTAAACTAGTCATCTAATACTAGCTTAAAGACAAGCTCTATTTAAAGGCAAGATGTGATAGTCACATGGATGTGCACAGTAATAAGACAACATTAACAGCAGCACGGTACAACCTTCCACTGCTACATCCACAGTATGTCAGTACCTCAATGATATCATTACTGTTTAAACATGCTCTTATCTCTCAAATCCCTAAATCTTACATCCAGGATCTTTGAAAGACATAACACAGACAGTATGGCCAAAGTTTATTTTGGCTTCTCTATAAAGATTTTCAGATACACCTACATTTGAAATATGTGGCAGATCTTTCATGACTGTTCTTCCTTCTTCCATTCTTTCCATCCTTTTTTTTTTTGTTGTTACTGTATAGTGACCTTGATGCTGGTGGTGATAACAATGATGATGATGATGATGATGATGATTATTATTATTATTAATTATCAGTAAAAGGAAGGATTTGGTATTATAATTACAGTGGATATTTATGAAATATACATGATATTCTAGTAATGTTAGTGCACCCTTTCTTTATATTTAACAAATAATCTATGTCAGCAGATTCAGCTACAGTTTTTGCAAAACACACTCCTTTCAATGTAATAACATCTAACACATATTGCCTTTGAGCTCTGCTCTCCCTCAGCTGCAGTAACCGTAATCCCCTGGAAGTGTTGCTGTGATTTATTGTTCTGTCCACAGCTCCTGATTAGATGAACTCCAGACTAAAACTTCACCATCTCAGCTATGAATACAAAGTAAACTGTGTTTGCCGATGTGGCTGACCCTAAGCATTACTTATATCACAGCATTACAGTATTACTTATGATGTTTCAAATCCAGAATAGATCAATTGAAGTGTTTAATATTCAGTGTGTGGAATGGCTATACAGTGTTGGTCGCTCGCTATCATTTTCTACCAGAAGAGTAGTAGAGTGTCACAGGCCAGACCAGATGGAGCCAACAGAAAATAAAAGCTGTTTACATTGAAACAAATCACAGATTCTCTTGTATGCCTTCCTTTAATCTGCTCCCAGCAGCTAAGAGAGGTATGAAAATTATTCCTAACAAATGCACCATGCCAAGGAGTATTGCATAGTTTACATAAAACCTTAACAGACTGTAAGTCATCACCGGCCATATCTTATGTGGCTTTTATAACGATATATGCTGTTTGATGCAGTAAGGCAAGAGGGAGGATTCTATCAAACGCTCATTTTCTCAGTGCACTTATAAGGCAAAACATCCTTATATTATAGTAAATGTTCCTGAGGAACAATTGTGCTTCTGATGACTGGTATTAAAAACCTAGCCAGTTTTGGTAAATTCAGAAGCGTGATGGGGTAATACTAGTTTGATGATGTGTTTACATCATGTGCATTTAATTCCAATGAAACAATGAACTGTTAATGTAGTGCACGGTAATTAAATAAAGTGGTTTGAACAACCACATTTCTTGTCACAGTATGAGCACTATGATTGACCGTGCTTTAAACCTCTCTAGCGTAACTTGAGTGGACAGCACACACACACACACACACACACACACACACACACACACACACACACACATATATATATATATATATAGATAGATAGATAGATAGATAGATAGATACTTTATTGATCCCGAGGGAAATTCTTGGTATCCAGCAGCAATAGACAGTAACAAAACAGAAAGGGAAAGGTAATAGATTAAAATAGCACCATAAGTCTGTACAGTCGGTACTAAGTATAAAGAGATGACAGTGTATATACCTTATGAATTTACTTACTTACATTCATTATAAACTGGTTAGTGTATAGAGCTGACCAGAAGTTAGACAAGTTACATTATACAAGTTATACAAGCTGACCAGAAGTCAAAAATAAGTTAAGTTATCCAGGTTATACAAATAGATGCGTGAATCATAGCAGTGCAACAATGATATGCAGTTAAGTGTGGCAATATGTAACAGTGCAACATAGTCTTTGTAGTGGTTATGATATACAGTACACAATTGTTGCAATTCAGAAATAAATAACTCCCTGGCAGTTTTCATATCCAAATTACATCTTCTGCTTTTTCTATTAAAAAAATAAAATCTTTAAGATTATTTTCTTCTTTTTGCATAACTGATTGCTAGAAGGTACAGCTTTTGGGCAGAGAACATTGTGGCTTTAAATAAAACACAATATATTTTATAATATACTAGTTTTTTTTTTGCTTATGAAACTCAACTACACAATCCCAAAGGTAAATCTTTAACCTTGGGGATGATTTAAAAAAAAAAAAACACTGCAATGTCAAAGTGTGCAATACTTTAGTAACATTTTCTGAAGGGAATAAACACTACAGTACACTACACTAAAACCCTGTTAGTCATGAGAATCTCAAGGCTTTTCACAAGGCCGCAGGAGACACCTCTCAAAGACTCTCAGCATTAACTGAGCTATTTTCACACAGGGCATGTTTCAACTTCATATATTCCGCCGAGAGTGTTTTGTCTTCAAACTGTGAAATGGCAGAATAGGGTGAAGAAGGCATGCTAGCATAAATACATCATTAATCAATCTTTCTATTTCATAGTCCTTCACAATTTTCAGAATGTAGTTTTACCATAGCCTTGTTTAGAGGTTGCAAAGTCTTTCACAGGTTTTTACAGAAATTTGGTAAGGGTAGGTATCACTTTGCTGTGTTACGCTGAGTGTGTTACACTGCCCTGTGACATAGCTTGAGCAGCAGTTGGTTGGATGTCTTGGAGGAAGCATGTGTTAGCTTTTACTGTCCCCAGTTACTAGCTATTGTATGATAGGAAAGAGCTGGTTGCTGGGTGGGAATTGGCAGGTGGGGAGAAAAATGGGTGGAAAATGTATTCTAATGTTCCATTTTCCCCTTTATTATTATTAATAATAATAATAATAATTATTATTATTATATTTATTTATGTTTTATATATTTTATATATATTTTTATATATGTATTATTTATGGTCCCTGGAGGGCTAGTGGTTAGGCTACTGCAGTCTCACTGCTGTGGCCTGGCTTCGATTCTCGGCTAGGGAAACAACTCCAGCCACTGGGGTTGCACATGACAGTCTTGGGCTGGTCCCAAGCCCAGATAAAATTGTGGAGGGTTGTGTCAGGAAGAGCATCTGTTGCAAAAAAAAAAGAAAAAGAAAAGAAAACGAAAAAAAAACTGTGCCAAATTAAATATGTGGACCAGTGATTTGCTGTGGCGACCCCTAATGGGAGCAGCTGAAAGAAGAAGAACAACAACAATATTATTATTTGTTTGTTTGTTTATAGGCAGGTAATGTTGCCACCTTGCAACTTCAGGATCCTGGGTTCGATCCTGATCTCAGGTTACAGTCTGTGTGGAGTTTTGCTGTTCTCCTTGTGTTCATGTGGGTTTCCTCTGGGTTCTCAGGTTTCCTCCCACCTTCCTCAAACAATGCAGGTATGTGGAGTGGCTATGCTACATTGTTCTTAGGTGTGAATGTGTGTGCATCGTGCCCTGTGATGAGCTGGCATCCCAGCTCCCTGTGAATGAATGAATGAATGAAGGAAGGAAGGAAGGAAGGAAGGAAGGAAGGAAATCTTAATTTCTATTCCCTTTTTTACAGACATTAAAAAAACATTCTAGACAAAATTTATACAAAAAGATTATGCTAAAAATCTAAAAATGTAGAGTGCATAAAACTTTTACCCAAGCTTTTTTTTGTTTTGGTGTTTTTGGGGGATAGAGGACTATCAAGCAACCGGCAATTCATAAAGGCTTCAGAATGGCCAACAAAATCTGAATCTTCACAGTTCCAACAATAACAAGCATTTTTAAAAAATATATATATATTCTACTTTTATGTTTATGTAGATTAAGCCTGGTCATAGACTGAAGTCCAAGATGATGTTGGTTTTAAATAAAAATCCATGTCTGGGAAAGAGACCAAAATTTTTAAATTTTCCAGATAAACATGTGCCTATTTAAAAGAATGGATATGTCTAACAAAATCTAAGCAAACCCCATCTGTGCATATATAATCATGGCATGTACGGGTTTTTTTTTCTAATGGATAGTGGCAGGAGAAAAAACATCCTGTCTTTTCTTCCCAAAACTGTAATGAGATGTGAAAGGTTAAAAGGGAACATCTCTGAAAATTGACTGCAGAGTAAAAGGTCTAAAGCACCTTTTTTCATAACACTTATAAAATATTCATGACAGAATGGGAGGTCAAGCAGCTTTATCCTCCCCACCCACCTCCCGTACAACACTTCAAATTACAGTGATATGGAATCACCTGTATTTGAAAATCACGCTTTTCTACTGTATTACAATCATTTGTCACATATGAAGTGATAATATGGACATTTTACAATGTGGTCTTGTGTTTGTTTGGCCATAATGTTTGTCTTGTGCAATGTGTGACTGAATGTTTGATTTTAAAATGAGCTGCCATAATTGCTCTCTAGGATAAATACAGTTGAATTGATTTCAATCAAATTGAGCTGAATTGCATTGATGGATTATAGCTTCCAGTACTGCTTCACTATCACAGAAATGTGGGCAAAACCATTTCGACTTCCAAAACTCAGAAAGATGTTAACAATCTATTTATTACTTGAAGCACTTGTGTCTGTTATGTCTAGAATGTCACAGTAATTGAAGACCTTAATGTTCTTTAAGGTCAGCATTAAGTGATCTGACTCCAAACTTGGTAGAATTGTACTAGCAAATGTAATAAATGAGGTATACTAAAATATGCTTCAATGTATCATCCATGGTGTGACGGACTGCTTTATGTTTGTAGCTTTATGTCTGTAGAGTACTAGCACTTAATCCAACCCTCGTGTTTAAGTTGTAGCTGTCTCTCTGTCTGTTCTTCCTGTAACTATTCTGCAATAGTTTCTGGTCCATTTGGTTAAAACATATAAACACATGTTATATTCTGCCTCGCTTGCACTTTGGATAAAAGCATCTGGTTTTACATCCAGACAATCGTAAATAATACCAGTAATACATAAGAAAATTGCAGGTTGGAAAAACAACACTTTTGCTTGTTTGGATCCCTGATAGTTGTTAGAAATGAAACAAGAACCCAAAACTGCCCGATATATTCTTCAGCATTTCTTTGAACTGTTCTGTTTTTTCCCGCTCTGCTACATTAGTTCTCAGAAAACCTTGTGGAGGATTGTAAGTCATTACAGCTGTCTTCAGAAAAAAGTCATTCTGCACATCAGAAACAATTACAGCACTAGTGTAGTTTCAGTCTTCCCAGATTGCAGAAAAATCTGTGCCAAATATGATGTAGTTTAGGAACATAAGGACCAGTTACGCCAATTGTATTGTAGACCAAAAGCGGCCCAGTGATAATTAATGACAGTTAACATTTTTAACAGTATTAAGAATATAAGCTGAAAATTTACATTTACATTTATGGCACATGGAAGGTACCCTTATCCAGGGCAACTTACAGAAGTGCTCTGTTAAAAAATACATCCTGATACTGGTTCACTAGGTCATAGACTAAGAATGCTATCGGTCTAAAAAAAAACTCTGTTGGGGAATTAATATAGTAAGTAAAGCATACAGGCTTTACTTTTAAAAATAAAGTGGAAAGTTAAGTACTTCATGAAGAGGTAGATCTTTAGTTGTAGTTTGAAGGCCCAGCCTTGAAAATGGCACAAATGCAACGAATGAATTTGTGGCATGTTAATTTTGGACTGAAAGTGGCCTATCTGTAAACATACAGTCTCACCAAGGCTGAGTTATGGCTGTGTTCTGACAGCTAGATTAAGACAAGTTTATTGCCATCATTCCATGGTGATATATAGGCCACATTAATTGGAAAGTGTGGGCTGTGATTGGACAGTTACTCATTTGCTATCAGGGCTATCCTTGCTGGGTTCAGATCAATGTTTTGTACGTAACACATGAAGAACAGTGGTATGTAGTGTATATAGAACAATGTTTCACATATATGGTTCATAGAAAAAGATTTTTTTGAAAATCGGCAACGCTTGAAGAGCTGCGATGAATAGAAAAGAATGAAGATTGGCCTCCATGGCAACAACCCTCCAGATATTAAATGAAATATATTTGAACTGCTCTCTGGAATTTGGTCATCTTGCTCTAAAAGACATTACTGAAGAAAAAAAAACATTCTTTCAATATGTTGAGTAGCTGGCTGTAACTAGGAGTAGAGCAGGAAGATTCAGATTTGATTCTCAACCACTCAATCCATTAGTACAGTGTGTTCTGACCGATTGTGCCGTTTTGTTGACAATCTGAAAAACAGATAACTAAAAAGCAAATACTTTCTGTTCGTTCTAAGAGGAAGGTGCATTTAGATTAAATTTCATATACAGTATAAATGGACTCCCGGTTGGGAGTCCTATTATGTCCTATTTTAACTTTGTTTTGCATTAAGAAAAATTATCAATGCAATTTTATGCAATATTATTGATGTACAGCTGCAACATGAAAAAAAAAAAAGTTGAGGTAAAATGTTTAAAAAATTTAAGATTAGTTTCTAAAGTATCAAATTTTCATTAGCATTGCTGTTTGTTACATTCAGGAGTAATTAATAGAGAACTGAATTGAAACTCCTGACTACTTTTTACTAAGTTAGTAAGTACATAAGCATTAATTAAGGATCCTAAAACAATACGTTATCACAGCAATTTACTGTATTAGTAATTAATGCTTCTGTAATGACATTTACATTTACATTTATGGCATTTGGCAGAAACACTTATCCAGAGTGCCTTACTGAAGTGCTGTGAAGTCTAGTACTGTCAGTCTAAAAACCCTGTTGGGGAGGTTAGTAGAGTATGAAAAGACACACAAGAAATGTTTTTTTTTTAAGTACCAATTTACAATAAGTACTTCATGAGGTAGGTCTTTAGTCCGTTGTTTGTAGACAGCCAGTGATTCAGCTGTTCGAACATCTAATGACAAAGAAAGGACAGTGTACAACACTGATACATGCAGATAACATAGTGGTTCAAAACTGTCAGCATAATAATTTTATATTAGTTATTAAATCAGTACACTTTATGGTTAATTATATTTTATTATAGTAATTATTAATTATTGAAGAACTATAAGGGTAATGTTTGATTACTTACTGCTAAGTTAGTAAGTACTTAAGCACCATAGTAATAAGTAAGTAGTAAGTACCTAAGTACCATACAGTAAAGTGTTACCAGTCTAACATTAAAGACTGCGTTCAAGACTGCAGACCTTAATGTTTATTCATCATATCTTATAACTTACCTTATAACATACCTTAATATCAATTCATCAGAATGCATATTTTTTTCTTCTGAGGTTTTGACATCCATTAATGTTTACCACCATCATAGGATTGTGCTGCCTTTGTAAATATAAAATTCTGATCTTTGTTCACATCTATCCTTGTGATTATTTCATTTAAAAAAAAATAAAAATCTCATTAGCTTGTGTATGTATGCTCCATGTTTTATCTCGCATGCCTGTGAAGTCTTTTGTATATTGTGCTTCAAAGCTAAAATAAAAAATGTCATGCGTTGTCAAGGGCTCTATTTTCATACTCTCCAGTCTCCTTGCTGCCTGTTTTCTAGTTCTCCAGCTCTTAACCCTTGCCCTAATCCTTTGTCTTTTTTGTATTTTCTGGTCTATACCATATCATGTCTGTGATTGGATCTCTGTGATATGATCTTCCTCAAAATCTTCATAAAATTCCTAAAGAAAAAATACTTATGACAGGTTTGGGCTTATTTGGCATTTTAGCAAAACATTTCTAATTGATGGGATTGTATTGTACGAGCTCTGCCGGAGCAGGCTCTGCAGGAAAGGCTTGTCGCCATGGAAACAGGCCGACTCTTGTGTAGTGGAAAGACTACAGAGGATCGCTCGTGTTTCTACTCATGCCCCTACAGCCCAGCATTACACAATTCTTGCACACACACTGGAGAGTGAAAATGGCTCACTTATACTGTCAGTGTAATTCTTAGAACTGGTGCACTCTAAATGAATTCTGCGATGAAAACAATGCTAACTGGGTTGGCTAGTTTATTTAACTGAA